TTCCGGCGAACATTGAAGTTTTCGACGACCAGCCCAGTTTCCGGTGAAGAATCTTAGAAACCGACCAACTTCCGGCGAAATTTCTAGATTTCGATGATAATTTCTAGAATCCGGCACCGGTGTTCTTCAGTTTTTAGAGAGAAGGGAGAGGAAAAGGGAAGAAGAGAGAGAGAGGGAGAAGCGTTCTGCCGAAAAAACGAAGGGGATTGCCTTTTATACCTTCCCAAAACGACGTCGTTTTGGCTTTAAGTTAATCAGAGGATCCGCGCGTTTTGTCGAAACCCGACCTGACCCGAGCGTCGACCCGATTCTGACCCGCGCGTGCCTGCCCCCTCCGAGCCTAGCCGAGCCGCGCCAAGCCGCCAAGCCGCTCCCCCCGAGCCGTTTTCTCTTCCTTGAGCCGAGCCGAGCCGAGCCGCGATCCGAGCCGCTCCAGGTTTTTTTTTTTTTCTTTCTTTGAATTTTTTTTATTTCTTTGTTTATTTGTTTATTTTATTTTTTATTTATTAGATTAGGTTTATGTAATATTCTTTTTATTTATTTTTTATTATTTTATTTTCTTTAAATAAAAATAAAAAATTCCAAAAAAAAATATTTTTAGGGAAAATTTGAAAGTATCAATTTTCCTTAAAAGAAAAATAAATTTCCAAAAAAAAATATTTTTAGGGAAAAGTTGAAAGTATCAATTTTCCTTAGAAATAAATTTCCAAAAAATATTTTTGGGGAAGAGTTGAAAGATAAATTTTCCTCAGAAATAAATTTCAAAAAAAAAATATTTTTAGGGAAAAGTTGAAAGTACCAATTTTCCTTAAAAGAAAAATAAATTTCCAAAAAAAGTATTTTTGGGGAAAAGTTGAAAGTATCAATTTTCCTTGAAAATCAAAATTTCAAAAAAAATATTTTTGGGGAAAAGTTGAAAGTATCAATTTTCCTCAGAAATAAATTTCAAAAAAAAATATTTTTAGGGAAAAGTTGAAAGTATCAATTTTTCTTAAAAATAAATTTCCAAAAAATATTTTTGGGGAAAAGTTGAAAGTATCAATTTTCCCTACACAAAAAAAAATCATTCTTTCATTCCTTTCTATTTTGATTTTTTATTTTGATTTTTCTTTAACTAATCCGATGACGGAGCCTCTGCAAGTGAAACAGTAGTTTTTCTTGCATACTCTTGAGGTGAGGAAATTTTCTCAATTTTCTGCTAAAAGTATTAGAGTCAATTGAGAATAATTTTCAATAATTAACTACTTGATAAAATTTTAAAGCTTTTGGATAACACAAATTTAAGCTGGTACCATCTTTTGATGGGCGTTGTGAGGGTGCTATAACCTTCCTCACACGTAACCGAACTCCCGAACCCTGTTCTGGTTAGCAGACCTGAACCTATTCTTTTAGGGACCCTTAAGCTTAGGTGTTCCCTGAAAGGACAGATTCTTTAGGTGGCCAATCACACCTAGGTAAAAAAAGATTGGTGGCGACTCCCTAAAAGTCAATGTCTAGCGATAGATCCCCGGATCTAGACGTTATGACACATTCAATAATTTTTTTCTCCAAACCTTAATCCTCATCCTCATCTCTCAGTTCTCTTTTTATTTGGTGTGTGGTATCTGCTTGCTTCCGTCAACCTCAAATCTCACTATCATCTCTTGTCTCTCATTTTAAGTCCCAATAACTCCTGCCTCCTTCTACCAATGTCTCATAATCCAATCTAATCCTAAACATACAAAATCACGACAAATTTAGAAATTAATAAAAAAGGTAATTTGAGTGTTGAATTAATTGTTTACCTTAAATTGCATGTACTTGATTTTGATTGAAGTTAAATTTGAGAGAATTGATATTTTTAAAAGTTTAAGTTTTGTGATTTTTTTTTTGAATTTGTAAATTGATGTTTATTTTTTTTCTTGTTGATTTTATTTTAAGTCTTTAAACAGAAGCAATTTAGCATCCTCGACTTTGTTTCCCATTAGTGTGAAAAAGCTACGGGCAGCTCGTCATTCTGTGGCTTAGATGCCAATGTGTTTCAAATTCTTTTAAGCATTGATTGACCACAGCAATGGAATCTTCAGTGCCTTCATAGTAATCTTCTTATTCTTATTCTAAGCTCTTCCCCGCTCCTCTCCGGCATGTGGATGTTCGTTCACCTGGCTATTCAATAAGCAGGAAGATCAAGGTGCAGATTTAATGCCTCGATCATTTCCCGAACCGGAAGTCACATCAAAAGGTAAAAAAAACCTCACCTCCCAGCAGTGAATATTAACGAATTGCCTGCACCAGAACGTTGAAGCGATTTTTTTTTTGAATGAAAATAGGAATAGCGGCAATAGCGGACCGCTATTGCCGCTATTCAGCGTTACACCGCAATTCGCGGCCTTGATTCGTCCGATATAGATGAGATTCAAGTTCTCCTCTGTTTTTTCTCTAACAGCGGTGGCGGATAGTGGCGTGACCGCAAAATAGCGGCCGCTACACCGCTATCCGACCGCAATTTGAATCTCTGATCTGGAGTACTCATTGGTTCAAGATTTTAGCTACAAATGGTTGTAATTTTCTTTGTGGTGTTTGTTCTTCCAAAGGGTTGAAGAGATTTGGTTGGACTTTCCGTGTTTTATGGGTTACTTTTGGTAGGAAACTTCTAATCCAACTTACAAAGTGATACTAACATACTGACAAATTTTTTTGATAAGCTCTGACATGGGGCACCTTTTTTTATTCACTCAATTTCAAGCCAATTTCTTTCCCAAATTCTCCTCAAAACTTCCAGAGAATAAAGCATCAAAACAAGGTGAATGGGTTATGAAGAGACTTTTAATTAGAAAAGGAAAGAAATAATTAATCATATGACTAGTCTTCATCATGCTTGGTTGGTTGGGCACTAATGTGACAAGATATAGTGGTTAGGGTTTAAGAAATTAAGGGCAATATTTATTTGATTTAGACCAAAATCTAGCTGTAAAGAATGGATTAAGGAAAATTCTAAAGCATCATGGAATTATTTTGTCTTCCACATTGTGAAGCAGATTTAAAACTAGAATTTTGTCTAACATCATGTTACTGCTAATCTTCAATAGCAGTGAGAAAAATATGGCATTTTTCTTATACATGTGATACTTGAAAATGAAATTAATCTCCAACCATCAGTGTCCTGAACAGCTATAATATTATTATTTCAATATTTTGGAATATAGCTAATTGCCCAGGCCCCAGATTTGAACCGAGGAAATTGTGGCAGGATTAGATAGAGAAAGCTGTAGGAAACTAGGAGCTGAGTTTAAGAAACTTGGCTTGCTTTACGTATGCATTTCTTCTCCTCAAGAACATTGCTGCAGAACACCGATGATATGGTTTTCACGAAGTATTAATAAATGTATTTTTCTCAATTCTAGAAGTTCTAATTTAGATTCATTACCAACGGTTCACTAGTTCACTGAACTCTGCCATAATTGAGCGCTGAACTCTGCTATAATTGAGTACTGAACAGTACTAAAGTACAACACTGATGAATGCACTAGCATTGTTGAACATCTGATGTCAAATTTGATGTAAGGGGTTGTTAACAACCTCTTGGTTTTGTATTTATTTTTTGTAGCAGATTGATTTCCTGCTCTCAACCAATTGTCCCCCCCAAAAAATTGTTCAGTATCTAGGCTGAAAGGGAAACGAACCAGCTCAGCTCTCCATTGACCCTTCTCAAACCAAAAGCTATATTACTATGATCAAATTACACGAACAACTTGATCACCTAAATACTGTAAAAATTTTGAGTTTTAGTTACACTTACTTTAACCATGAAGGTATTTAAACTTTAAGTAGCATTTTTTTTTAAAATTCAGATGCAATAATTGAAATGCTTAATTTCTTTTTTTTAGTATAAAGAAAACTGCAACTTAATAATTGGAAAAGAGATTATAGGTATTGGAAATTGAACTCTTAATTTGTTGAATATTTAAAGTAACTATATAAATCAATTGAATTAAAATTTAAGTTCAAAGTGTTTAATTAATTTCTTTGCTAAGGTGTGCCAATCTCTTTAATCCATTCAACATCCTCCTAAGGAATTATGGCATAATATATCTAAATCCTTAAAAGAGCTTTAACAGTATAAAAAAAAAAAGTTAAAACCACAGCAGAAAAGTTTACCATGTTAGAAAATAGGAAAAATAGAAGTCAAGACAAACGAGCCAGGTTTGGTGTTCATGGTCATACTTCTATAGGTTTCGAGTGTTATTTGTTTTTCATGTGTCCTCCAACTTTTCTATATACTTGTAATAGACAACTTTCTTTGCTATTTGCTAGCTTATAGCTATCTCTTTAACGTTTTTATTCCTTTTGAATTTTCAAATAAATATCTTCTACTTAGTAAAAAAACTGTTGCTATCAAATCATATAATTTGTTAATAAAGAGTTGGACTTCTAATTTTAATAATAAAAATTCTAACACTTCTCAAATAAAAAAACTACTAAACTAGAATAATTCGAGTACAATAGCACATTTTTGTTTTAAGTTAAAATGTGGGAGATATCATTATTGAATGATGAGTTTGAAAGCTTGCTTTTGTTTCTCTTCAAACTCATCATTCAATAATGATATCTCCCACATTTTAACTAAAAGAAAAAAAAAAACCAAATCATTTTCCGTTTTCCCTTTTCTTTGTCCTTTTACTTTGGTGGGGATTGAGGACTCGATTCACCTCACTTACTAATATTTCCACAACATTGTGCACATAATCTTAATTCTTTTTTTGCTCAAAGTAGTCTTCATTTATTAATACCGGAAAAGAAAGATTAAACCACGTTGGTTTACATTGTTATTTCATTAATACTTGTACATGACCACGGATCATAGCTCATAGCCAAGGGAAAGGCAACAGAAAAAAAAAAAAAAAAGGAAAGAAAAAGACCAATCAATGTATAACATAACAATGAAATCTATGCGTACTGCCTGAAAATTAAGCATTAAGTTAATTCCTGCCCCTCCTTCGATTCTGATGCTTCCTCCCAAATTACTTGACAAACCACTTGTGTTTCATTGGGTTGAAGGAGTACCCAAGAACCAGTCCGTTCACTAGCCCGCTTCCATACCCCAACAGGACAACCTTCCAACCAAATTCAAGCCAAGACCTGCTGTCTCTATCTTTCTTTGACAATGAAGGCGGTGGTGGTGATGAGCCCTCGGAATAGCATTTCTTTGACAAAGGATTCCCGCATAATCCTGGGTTGCCCTTAAATGAGTTGTTTTCGAACGTAGCAAATTGTTTTCCTTGTGGTATGGGTCCTATCAGCTGATTGTTGGAGACATTAAAAAATTCAAGGAAAGTGAGCTCCACGAGCTCTTGAGGGATCTCTCCTGAGAGCTTGTTCTGAGAAAGGTCCAAAGATTGAAGTTCCGTTAGACTGGCCAATGATGATGGAATTGGACCGGAAAGAAGGTTGTTGGAAAGGTTAAGGAATTGAATTGCCTTTAGAATCTGAATGTCTTCTGGAATACAACCTTCAAATCTATTGCTTGAGAGATCAATGGCTGCCAAGAATTCTTGAATCCTATAGTATTCTGTCTCCATGCCTTTATTTATCATTGTCATTGAGTAAGAAAAGGAAAAATCCCAATCGTAATTTGTTACTTTAAAACTGAAGTTTGCCTGCAAGTACCTTAACTTGCCAACATCAACAACTTTCATGGCCTTCCATATTGGGAAATGACGAGATGGCAAATGACCTGTAAATTTATTGAAGGAGAGATCAAAGATTTGCAACTTGGGAAACTCTTTGGTTTTTGGTTTTCCAATTGCACCATGAAATCCATTATGTCGTAGTATGAGAATCCTTAACTCTGGAAGCCTGCCCAACCAAGAGGGAAACGTATCCTCTATTCGATTATTTCCCAAATTAAGAATCTCTAGCATGTTACAGTTAACCAGTGATCTGGGAATCTGTCCATCCAATTGATTTTGGCTAATGTCAATCATTCTCAATTTGCTTCCTTTTTTGCATGTTTGAGGAATAGGGCCATGAAAGCTGTTGTTTTGTAGATTCAATACTGAAAGTGAGCTGCTTAGGTTGCCCAAACATGGTGGAAGCGTGCCGCTAAAGTTGTTATGTGACAAGTCAAATGTAGTAATAGAAGTCAGATTGCAGATCATTGATGGGATTTCTCCTGTCAATAAATTGCCTGAGACAAGGTAATGGTAAATGGAAGCGGGTGGAATTGGAAGGAATCCTCGTAGCTTGTTAGAACCAAGGTCCAAAATTCTTAGATTGGTCCATGGAGGAACAACAGTAGCTTGGTGGAAACCTGTAAGAAAGTTTCCACCTAAGATTAAAACTTGAAGAGTTTGGGCACAAAAGCCCCATATCCATTTGGGGATAAGCCCATAGATTTTGTTCCTAGAAAGATCCAGAAACTCCAGTTCATCCTGACCAGAAAGAAAATTTGGGAACTCAAATAAGTTGCATGAACCTAATGTTAACCATCTGAACTTTGGAACAGTAACATTCATAACTGCCGAGGTGGTGAGCAATGAAAAATTATTCCAGGACAGTTGGAGGCTTTTGAGATTTTTAAGATTTAGAAGGGATTCTAATTTGATGGCACCGCTCAGTTGATTATCCTCTAAATCAAGACCTTCGAGATTTGTTAGGGTAAAGATTGATTGTGGAATCGAACCCCAAAATTTGTTTACACCAAGATCCAAAATGATCAGTTGTGTAACATTCCCTAACCATGATGGGATTTGGCTGGAGAATTGATTACGGTAAAGATGCAAACCAGTAAGCTGGGTAAGGTTTTTTAGAGAAGATAGGATGTCACCATATGAGTTTGTAGATTGTGCAGCCAACACAGTTAGTTTGGTTAGCTTACCAAGCCAAGACAAAGTGCCAGGGCTAAACTCATTGTAAGCAAGTGAGAGATAATTGAGCTCGGTAAGGTTAGCCATGGATGAGGGAATTCGTCCGGAAAAAAGGCAGTTACCAACACTCAAGAATGATAATGACTTAAGATTCCCAATTGATTTTGGTAGCTGACCAGAGAAACCTGTATTGGCAAGTTTCAATGATTCAATAGAACTATTTTTGTGAAATTCTGGTAAACCTCCCGTTAGATATGGATTGTAAGACACCCTTAAATACTGAAGATTGGGTAGCTGAAAAACTTTAATAGGAAATTCACCACGCAATTCACAATTCGCGAGAGAGAGATATGTCAAATAAGATAAATTTGCCAAGTTTTGAGGAATCGTCGAAGACGCATTCACCTCATCAAGATTAAGATACTTGAGGTTGACTAGCTTCTTAGCTAGACTTTTCAGGCTTGGATTTTGGAGTTCTAATCCAATATTCCCGGAGAGATCAAGAATCACCAACTTCGGGAGCTCTAGAACTTGTGACGGAATTTGACCTGAAAAGCGAGAGAAAGAGAGGTACAATTGTGATAGCCTTGAAAGGTTCCCAATTGCATAAAGAATTTTAGAGTAATTGAAGTGATTGTCTGAAAGATTGAGCCTTCTAAGGTGATGGAGTTGGAAAAGGCCGTTGTTGGAGTCGATAGAACCATAAAGGAAGCTACTGCTTAGATCAAGTCCAATAACGTGACCAGTGTTGTCATCACACTCAACGCCATTCCAAGAGCAGCAATCCCCTTGTCCTTCAAGTTTCCATGAACCAACCTTCGCATAAGCCAAAGAATAAGAAGAAGCAGACCGATTGAGAATGAAGCTTTCCTTCAACTGCAACAAAGCAGAGCGTTCAGAATGCAGACAGGGTCGCTGCATAGAAGAAACGCATTGAGTAAGAAGATGAGGGAGAATCACAAAGAGTAAGTATTTTAGCAGAGAGTAATGTAATAATGGGCCCATAGTAATTAGCTGAACAAATTTTTTTTTTTTGTGTTAAAAGGTTGCAAACGGCCACCGTTTTTATAGACAAATATGATCATTCCATTAATTTATTTGATGCATGCAATATGCGTAAATGTCAGTGACAATTACGTGTAGAAGTGTCGAACACGAAAATTATCAAAGGTGGTCCTCGTTCCATTTTCTATTGTTGTCCTGTAAGCAGAAATTAGGATACTCAATTAGTCAAGTCTTCAAATTGGACAAATTAAAAGCAGTTAATTAGTTTAGTATACTGTTAAGTTATGTTGATAGAAATCAATCCTTTATCAATATTAAAAAGGATAATGGCTGAAAATTACGTGTATTTAGACAGCATTAGAGGAGTAATTAAGGTACCATGCATGCCTGCCTCTTGGTTTGCAAGAATTACTACCCCCACTACATCATTTATAAGTAAAATCTATACAAAATAAAAAGTTTAAAAAGAGGAGTCATCAAGTAGATTCCATTTTTACTATTCTTTCCATCTTGTATATATATAGTTTGATTTTGATTTTATAACAAAATTTAAAAAATTTCAAGTTAATGTTTTATCCATTCGTTGATTATAAATTTTCATTACAAAATTAATCTTAATTTAAAAAAAAAAAAAGAAAGTGAGTGATAATTATAGTCAGGGTAAATAAAGGAAAATAATGATGATTTTTTATAAAAATTATTAATAAAAGAAATTATAATTATAATAAAGTGTTACATATATATATATAATCATTTAATAATCAAACAAACAAATCAACTGATAAATCAGTACATAATTAGAAAAAATCAATATAAAATTAGATGAAACTCACATATGGTGATATTTTATTTTGTTTATTGATTTGTCTATTTGATTTATTTCAATAAATTTGTAAGTAATTAAGATGTAATATTTGATGATGATTTTAATTTTTACTAGTATTTGTGTAATTTCATAAAAGACTAATCTTTTCAAATTGTTAATATGTTCATTTAACTCTATCAATTTTGAATTTCAATTTTTAGTTTTAATTTAATCTTTCTTAGTTGAAGAAGTTGATTAGCTACAAACACTGACCCAGGAAAATTGTACAAATTAAAGGCATGGGTTGGATTTGGCCAAAAAAAAAAAGAGGCATGGGTTAATCCAACTTTTAACAAGCATGAGGGATTTACGGGAAAAGGAGGTGTTCAAGACACTTATGTTGTCATGAAAATAAAATCGTTTTTTCGAAAAGAGATGATAAATGTAAGTTATATTGGGAAAATTGCTTAATTTGACATTATATAATCTATTGGGAATGGGACTGAATCTTACTAAATATTAATCTATTGAGAATACATAATAAGTAGCATTTTTAAGTCCCTGGGGACCGAATCTTAATATTTATATATTTTCATTATTTGAAAGCAGCAATGCCAACGGACATTCTTTTTTTTTTTTTCGTTCTTTTATCTTGCCTTCGTCGAATGAATAGAATTAAAGATGTTAATGGTTAAGGTATAAGTAAGATAGCATATTCTTCATCTCCATTTTTAAATTTTTATATTATATTTATATCCGTATGAGTATTTTAAATTTATTTTTATTTTCATTCCCATTAGTATTTAATGGGTATAATTAATCTTTATACCCATAAATTAAAAAAAAAAACTAAAAATTTTTTTTAACTTTTTATTTTTATCTTGTATATCTAGGTAATTATTTATAAATATATATTAATATATTTTTCAATAAAAATAGGTTAATTTTAATTAATTTAAAATAAAATTTTATATTATTTAATAAAAAATCTAAATATATAAATATATATATATAAGGCGTGGATATAGGATAGATGTTATATTTTTGTATCCAATAAAAATTTAAAATTATATATATTTTTATTTTCATACTCATAATATAATATCTATATTTATTTTTATTCTAATAAAAAATCAAAATTTTTATTGAATATGGTAAAATTGTCACCCAAATGAAACTCACGCTTCCACCACATATTAGGGAATTATCTAAACAAGTAAAGTCAAATATCGTAAATCAACGTTTATTGGAATTTTTAAGTCAAGTCGTCTCAACTCTCCAGTCCTTCAAAGATTAGATAGCCAATTGAAGACGTTTAGGAAAATTCAAATGCGGTCCCTCATCACTGTATGGACTGAAGTAATTAAAACCACGTCTACTTCTTTCAAAGTGGAAAGTGACATATTCTGCAGCAAATTCAATTATTCGTGTCGTAACGTCTAGATCCGGGGATCTATCGCTAGATATTGACTTTAGGAAATCGCCACCAACCTTTTTTGTCTAGGTGCGATTGACCACCTAAAGAATCTGTCCTTTCAGGGGACACCTAAGCTTAAGGGTCCCTAAAAGAATAGGTTCAGGTCTGCTAACCAGAACAGGGTTCGGGAGTTCGGTTACGTGTGAGGAAGGTTATAGCACCCTCACAACGCCCATCAAAAGATGGTACCGGCGTAAATTTGTGTTATCCAAAAGTCTTAAAATTTTACCAAGTAATTAATTATTAGAAATTATTCTCAATTGACTCTAATACTTTTAGCAGAAAATTGAGAAAATTCCCTCACCTCAAGAGTATGCAAGAAAAACTACTGTTTCACTTGCAGAGGCTCCGTCGTCGGATTATTTAAAGAAAAAAAAATCAAAATCAAAATAAAAAGAAAGAAAAGAATGATTTTTTTTTTGAGTGGGAAAAATTGATACTTTCAACTTTTCCCCAAAAAATATTTTTTGGAAATTTATTTTTAAGGAAAATTGATACTTTCAACTTTTCCCAAAAAATAGTTTTTGGAAATTTATTTCTAAGAAAAATTGATACTTTCAACTTTTCCCTAAAAATTTTTTTTTTTTGGAAATTTATTTTTCTTTTAAGGAAAATTGATACTTTCAACTTTTCCCCAAAAATATTTTTTGAAAATTTATTTCTGAGAAAAATTGATACTTTCAACTTTTCCCTAAAAATATATTTTTTTGGAATTTTTTATTTTTATTTAAAGAAAATAAAATAATAAAAAATAAATAAAAAGAATATTACATAAACCTAATCTAATAAATAAAAATTAAAATAAACAAAGAAATAAATAAAATAAAAAAATTCAAAGAAAAAAAAAAACCTGGAGCGGCTCGGATCGCGGCTCGGCTCGGCTCGGCTCAAGGCAGGGAAACGGCTCGGGGGGAGCGGCTTGGCGGCTTGGCTCGGCTCGGAGGGGGTTGGCACGCGCGGGTCAGAAAGCGGGTCGACGCCCGGGTCGGGTCGGGTTCGGCAAAACGCACGGATCCTGTGGGTTACTTAAGGCCAAAACGACGTCGTTTTGGGAGGGTATAAAAGGCAGTCCCCTTCGTTTTTCGGTAGAACAGCCCTCGCCTCTCTCTCTCTTCTTCCTTTTTTTCTTTCCCTTCTCTCTAGAAAATGAAGAACACCGGTGCCGGATTCTGGAAAAAGTCACCGGAATCTGGAAATTTCGTCGGAAGTTGGTCGGAAGTGCGCCGGTTTCTGGGATTCTACGCCGAAAACTGGGCAGACCGCCGAAAACTTCAAAGTTGGCCGGAAAATTCGCCGGAAAATTCAAACTTCGCCGGAATTTTCGCCGGATTCTGAAAATTTCCCAGAAATTTCCAGAAAAATTTTTCGTCAAAAATTTCTAAAAATTTTTTCTCACTCCCAGACCACTCCTAAACTTTTCCTAGCTTCCTATACGCCTCATTTTCTCTCAAATCAGTAGCTTTGCTTACTGTTTTTTCTGTGTTTTGCATTCTGTTCCAGAGTCCCTTTTATAGGGATTGATCAGGAGTTCCTGATCAATCCCAATTCCTCCTTGGACGGGAATTCAATCTTTGAATCCCACTGGACTCTTCTGATTGAATTCCCATTTCCAATGGGATTCTTCAGCCTTCAATCTCAGCCCTCCAAAATCAAAATCAAATAAAATAAAAAACTAGATAATTAGAGAAGATAAATCAACAGATATTATAGGATAAATAATAATAAAAAAATATATCAAATATATAATTAGATAAGTAAAAATACAAAAATGAATAAAATAAAAAAGATAATATATATATATACATAAATAATAAAATACACATAAATATTAACAAAAAAAAATAAATAAATATATACATATATTAATACATAATAATAATAATAAATAATACAATACATAAAATACAAAAGAAGAAGAAAAGAGAAAAAAAATACAAGATAAAATTGAATTGGGCTTACCCATTTGGGCCAGGCCCAATTGATCTGGGCCGGACCCAATTGGGTGTCTACAGCTGCCCCTCTTTGCACATTTTCTGTGAAACAGAAATTGCGCAAAGACGTAGACACCCAATCAAGACTCAACTCAACATTTTTTGGTTTTTTTATTTTTTTGTTTTTTTTTGTTTTTTTGTTTTTTTTTTGTTTTTTTTGTTTTTACCAAAGCTCCTCTAAACAGAGGCACCACGACTTTTGGAAAGTAAATTGCTCCTCTAAACAGAGGTACCACGACTTTGGAAAGTAAATTGCGAAAAGACGTAGACACCCAATCAAGACTCAACTCAACATTTTTTGGTTTTTTTGTTTTTTTTGTTTTTTTTTGTTTTTTTGTTTTTTTGTTTTTTGTTTTTTTGTTTTTTGTTTTTTTGTTTTTTTGTTTTTTTTTTTACCAAAGCTCCTCTAAACAGAGGCACCACGACTTTTGGAAAAGTAAATTGCTCCTCTAAACAGAGGCACCACGACTTTGAAAAGTAAATTGCTCCTCTAAACAGAGGTACCACGACTTTGGAAAGTAAATTGCTCCTCTAAACAGAGGCAACAAACTTTGAAAAGTAAATTGCTCCTCTAAACAGAGGTACCACGACTTTGGAAAGTAAATTGCTCCTCTAAACAGAGGCAACAAACTTTGAAAAGTAAATTGCTCTAAATTGCTCCTCTAAACAGAGGTACCACGACTTTGGAAAGTAAATTGCTCCTCTAAACAGAGGCAACAAACTTTGA